TTGTTTAAATGTAGCCCAAATAAGCACATTTTTAATCCTTGATACCCTGCCTGGTTTTCATACCTCACAAACTTTCCAGACATCTGCTAGCCATAGATAAGATAAATCCTAGAGCTATAAAGAGCCTAACCTGCCCAGCTGGCATGGTTCAATTGGTTGAGCGTGTCCTACGAACCAAGTCACAGTTTGACTCTTGGTCAGAGCACATGGCCAGGCTTTGGCCTCCATCCCCAGTAGGGGACATGCAGGAGGCAGTCAATCGATGTTTCTCTTTCATCAATGTTTCTATCGCTCTCTCCCTCTTCCTTCCACTCTCTGAAATCAATGAAAACATATTTTTTAAAAAGAACCTAAGCTGCTGTTGCCTATCAGACCTCCAGCAGTCTCTGACCCCGACACTCCCTCCCTGCTGCTGAGAGACATCCTCTAGACAAATAAGCTCCTATCCAAATCCCCTCCTCCCTGGAGTTACTGTACCCTCCTCCTCCCATTCTGGATGGTGGTCTCTGTGCCATAGCCTCCGGACAGTCACATGCTCTAAGAGACCCCCCCTCCAAAACTTTTCAAAGGGTCACCCAAATAAAGTTTGTGGGTGCTATTGTCACCTCATGGTCATATCTGTTTCTTTGATCAGCCCTGAAATCCCTAGAGCCCCCTACACTAGGTTTTACAGTAGGTTAGACATGTCATAAGAAAGAATTAGTGAATGGGAAAACAGGTGTGAAGAAATTCTGCAGAGTATAGCACAGAGAGACAAAAGGAGGAAAAATAACAAAAAGAGGGTAGGATTAGACAATACTGTAAAAGGGTCTAACATATGTGCCTGATTGAAGTTCCTGAGTGAAATATGAGCAACAATGGGTAGAAGAAAAATCTGAAAAAAATTTTTTGAGAATTTTCTCTGATTAGACTCATTAATCCACCAATTCAATAAGTCCCATGAGGACAAATTTTTTTTTAAAGTTCACATCTAGTTAAATAATAGTAAAACTGAAGGAAATAAAAAAACAATGGGAAGTTTTTAAAATTAAATTTTTATTAAAAAGATGGATTACTTTCAAATAAAGTCAGAATGATAGCTAACTTCTTAACATAAAAATGGAGCTAGATCATGGAAAGATATCTTCAATGGGCCAATAGGTACTCTATACCTAATGAAAATATCTTATAATATATAAAAGCAAAATAAAGACATCTTAAGACCAACAAAAACAGAATTTGCCACCAGACTCTCACTAAAGGAAATCTGAAGAAAAACTTTATTTTTAATTTTTAAAAAATTATTTATTGATTTTAGAGAGAGAATAAGGGGGAGAGAAAAACAGAGAGGGACAGAAACATTGATTTGTTCTTTCACTTATTTATGCATTAATTGGTTGATTCTCGTATGTGTCCTGACTGAGGGTCGAGCCTGAAACTTTGGCGTATCAGGATCATGCTCTAACCAGCTGAGCTACCTGGCCAGGGCCCGAAGGATAAATTTTACTTCAATTAATAGGAAAAGAATCCCAGATTAAAGGTTTCAGTTACAAGTAAAAATTAAAAGGGAGACATGGGTGATACTATTAACAATAAAAATATATATTAAAAAATAAAATAGGTACCCCCCCAAAAAAAAGAATAAGAAGGAAAAACTATGATATTTAAATGTTGGTAACACTAAATAAATGAATAGATTTAGCAGCAATAATTTTTTTTAAAAATATGATACTAAAGCCCTGGCTGGTGTGGCTCAGTTGGTTGAGTGTCATCTTATGCACCAAAGGGTTGCCTGTTCAATTCCCAGTCAGGCACATGCCCAGGTTGTGGTTTCTGTCGGTCCCAAGTCAGGATGTGTACAGGAGACAATCAATCAATGTTGTTGTTTTTTTCCTCTCTCCCTCTCCCTTCCTCTCTCTCTCTAAAAAAAAAAATAATAATCAATAAAAATACTTTTTAAAAATATGATACTAAAGAACAAGACAAAAATAGCATATGATTTAGGAAGGTGGTAAATGAGGTAAAAATATTGTCAAATCTTTGTATTGCTTAGGAGGAGAATTAAAATTAACATTAACCTTGGTTAAATGAAAGATGTCTGTGGTAATTTTTATGGTAAGCACTAACATATAAAAACAGATTGTATAACTTCTGAAACTAGCAAAGGAAAAATATAAAGATAAAAATAGCCAATCAAAAACAATCCAAAAAATGACTCAAAAAGGAGAGAAAAAGAAATAGGTGAGACAAATAGAAATTATAGACTAATCAAACTGATAAGTATTGACGTAAAAATCTTAAATAGAATATTAGCTAACTGAATCCTGTGAAATGTTATTGTAAAGCTGTAGTAATTAAGGCAGTATGGTGCTGAGAGCAGGAGTAGACAAATGGATCAATAGACTAGAGGGCCTTAGAGTCAGATAGACATGGGTTCGAGACCTAAATTTGATACTTGTAAAATCTTAAGTTATTAAAAGTACATTAAGAATTAAGTCAATCATTACAAATTATTTCATGATTACTAGAGAAGAGCTGTTAGGGCTGCTGAAGGAGGAACACATGAGGCCAAAGTGATAGGGAATTATAAATTTACTAGAGGCCCAGTGCACAAATTCGTGCACTGGTGGGGTCCCTCCACTTGGCCTGTGCCCTCTCGCAATCCAGGACCCCTTGGGGGATGTCAGATAGCTGGTTTTGGCCTGATTCCCGCAGGCCCGATCCAGACAGGAGGGAGCCCAATCCCCGCAGCCCCAATCTGGACAGGAGGGAGCCCGATCCTGTGCGTTGAGCATCTGTCCCCTGGTGGTCAGTGCGTGTCATAGCAACCAGTCGACTGGTCATTTGATTGCTTAGGCCAGTGATGGTGAACCTTTTGAGCTCGGCGTGTCAGCATTTTGAAAAACCCTAACTTAACTCTGGTGCCGTGTCACATAGAGAAATTTTTTGATATTTGCAACCATAGTAAAACAAAGATTTATATTTTTGATATTTATTTTATATATTTAAATGCCATTTAACAAAGAAAAATCAACCAAAAAATGAGTTCGCGTGTCACCTCTGACACGCGTGTCATAGGTTCGCCATCACTGGCTTAAGCTTTTATATATATAGATATGTAAGCTGCACTGACAATTTCAAATGAAAAAGCATGCTTTTTGGAGAAGGGAAGTGCAGTTTGGCAACCTGACTTGGATAGCACTAGACCTACAGAATACTGGTTAACCATGCTACTCACACCAGACTATAGACAGAACATGTGCAAATAAAACTGGCAATGTCCCCAAGATTGATTCAAGGTAGAAAGGCAAAAATATATTTCTTTTCTTTGTTCTTACCAAGGATGAAAATTCTGAAGAAAAAATTGCAAACCCAGTTTACTATTAAACTGCTGATGCTGGAAACTAGCCAATTAGATAGACTCAAGGGACTCTTTAGTTGAAATGGGCATACCCAAGAATGTATTTTATGTAATATATAAATGGACTGTTCGATTGCATACTGAGCAATTTCATTGACAGGCATTTCTTTTGCCACAACTAACCACCTTTATTGACATAAGCCACAGAAAGTGAATCTGGGCTTATGCTAAAGACATGTGCTCTACACCCCTCCTCCTTCCCTGCCAACTACTACACAATGTTTCCCTGAGGAGTTGAATATCCTGTCAGCATGAAGTAAGTTCCTTGCTATTACATTTTCACAAATTTTACCTTGATATAGTCAATTTGCTGGTTTCAGTTTCTTTCTTTCCTCCTCTTACTCTGGGTGGTATGATACCAGTTAAAACTGTTTTTCGGATAAGGGTAGGATTTTAAAATTTTGACACATGCAGAAATTTTACTTTTAAATTTTGGTGGCTTCTGACATAAAGTAATGCCCAAGAAATAATTTCCAAACATGGTCGCCTCATAGAGTTAATTTAAAAATATGTGTACAAGACCTGGCCAGTATGGCTCAGTTGGTTGGTCACCATCTTGTAAACCAGGAGTTTGCTGGTTCAATTACCACCAGGAGGTTTTGGTATCAATACCTGGTAGGGGGCATGCAGGAGGCAGCCAATTGATGTTGCTATCTCTCTCTCCCTCTCCCTTTCTCTCTCTCTAATTATTCTTTTTAAAAAAAATTTGTACAAGGTTGGGCAAAATAGGTTTATAGTTGTTTATATGGAAAAATAATAAAATAATTAATAAATAATAACACAAAGTAAACTCTTGTGTTCTGCATAGTCACAACTGTAATCCTACTCCCCGCCCCCCCCCCGTAAATAATCAAATCTGTACATAGCTATAGTATAGAACATGCTATCTACATATATTTATAGCTATATACATGTGTATATATGCATGCATGTGTGTGTGAAATATTAAATAAAAGGGAGGTCATAATGTATGGCCTCCTGTGTACTCTCAGTAGTTTCTTATAAAAAGAGAGCTCTAACAGAATTTACCACAGGGTTGTGAGGGAAACTAAATAAAGGATATAAAGTGCTCTGCACAGAACTTATAAGGTAGCTAAGTTCTAAATATTTATAAAACGTCTACCACTATTGATTCTTATAATAACCTTGAAGGAGACACTGAAGTATACCAACCAAAGGAAGACAGCCAGGAATGAGAAAGGTGTATACAAAGCTATGGCAGTCAGAGAGTATGGCGTATGGAGCAAACTCACTGGTTGGGCCAGAGAGGACAAGACCAGAGGCAGGGAAAGAACTAAAATAAGTGATGAGGACTAGAGCAGTGGCAAAGGAGAAAGCAGACAGACAAAAGGGATATCTAGAACACAGAACTGGTAGGAACTGGTAAATGATTAGATGGGGAATGAAAGAGAAGAGAGTGATGGATATCCTAGGATCGGATGCGATTTACACATTGCTGACACTGAACCAAAGAGCCTCAAAAATATTTTGGAGGAAGAAGTGAAAATATCTGATTTTAACATATTTGAGTTAATGTAGGGCATCTAGGAAAAAATCATCTACAATATATTAGGTATACACAGAGAATTTAGAAGTCAAGATTCTTTTTAGAATATCTGGTAAATATAAATATTGAAATAATTAGGTTCATATAGAATCACACTGGCAATAACAAAGGGGTATTGATCAAGATAATAGTTTCATGAATAACCTGGGAAGCATAGGGTAATTTGAACTGGAATTAAGTTAAAAAACGAATTTCCATCACTACCTCAGCTGCTTTGCCATTGTAAAGACGAAAATGATTACAGGCCTTAAGATTGAGTGCGATGGTGCTATCAGGAATTTGCTGAAGGTAAACGGCCAGAACTTCTTGAGACACATCATAGTAATCCAACTTGTAGTAACACAGAGCCACATAAACATTAAGGGCAAGGTATTCCCTATTAGATAAAAGAATTAAAGGTTAACAGAAATGCTGTCAAACTACAAAGACTTTTTTAACGGCCAAGAAGAACAGCAAGGCAAAGAGGATGTGAATTTGCCTTTTGAAGAAAGAAGGCAAGGTGTAATCAGTGTAGGATTTTTCTTTTGGTATTGTAATTTTGGATGTTTTGATAAGTAGAAAAAAGGATGACAATTAGAGAAGCAAGTGAAAAGTTTAACTCCTACCTGTTCATGTTAAAAAAAAAAACTAACATACAACATAATTGAGTATAAATGCAAATAAGCACACACCATACAGAAGATGGACAGTCAAGGCAAGTAGACCTGATGACTTACAATGGGAATGAGTGGGAGACTGTGAAAGTAAAAGAAGGGAGAAGAGAGGTGGGTGAGATATTTTGGGCATGTGGGAGAGAGGCAAAGTGGTCAGTGATAAAGTTGCAATGTTAATTTTTCCAATTTCATCACCAAGTTACCTAAAATGTACTGCAACTTTGAAATTGATACACCTAGACCAGTGGTCAGCAAACTCATTAGTCAACAGAGCCAAATATCAACAGTACAACGATTGAAATTTCTTTTGAGAGCCAAATTTTTTAAACTTAAACTATATAGGTAGGTACATTGTTATTAACTTAATTAGGGTACTCCTAAGCTGGCCTTTGCTAAAAACATCCTCAATCTGATTGAGGTACGTTCGCTGAGGTCGACCCCTTCCAACTCTCCCATCCACACTCGTCTTGTATACTTGTTTCGTCTATCTCCTTTCGTTCACCTTCTCTATATGTCCACCCCCCACTTCTTCTAACGCCACTTCTTCAAAATAGACTCGCCCAGGCCGAAAACCGACTTCTGCGCATGGGCCACAAAGTTTCAATCGCACTGTACGTGCGTGCCCCCACGTGGTATTTTGTGGAAGAGCCACACTCAAGGGGCCAAAGAGTCGCATGTGGCTCGAGAGCCGAGGTTTGCCGACCTCTGACCTAGACCATACAATTTCAATAGGGGAAATATCACTCATAAATGGGGCAATAATTGGTTCTTATAAAGAGGTGGGAAATTATACTAATTTTATATACAAAGCATAGCTAAACATACAGTACATAAACAAATATACAGTATATATGTGGTATTAAAATTTCATGGGAGGGCAATTAGGGGGAAAAAGGGTCTAAAAAGGCTCCTTGGAAGGGTGATAATGAAATAAAGGTGGAGAAACCTTAGACAATAAAGAGTTCTTACGCTCACCAGATTAGCTAACAGATTTGAACACATGGTGATACTAGATCTAAAGGACACTATGTCTTTGGCCAAACTAGTTACAGAAGAAACTAACAAAATGAGATTTTGAGTAGGCATAAAAGAACACAGACCTGTTATCTAGCAGAATTCGCTTATAAATATCAATAGCTTCTTGGTAGTGAGATCGCATATAGTGGATTGAGGCCAAACTGAGCTGATCTTCCGTGATGTCCTGAAGATTCTGATGGAAGTTCATCAACTTCTTCTCATCATTAAACTAAAATGTAAGACAGAAAAAGACGTGTAAAGTTTCACATTAGCCCTGGCTGGGTAGCTCGGTTGGTTAAAGCGTTGTCCTGATATACTAAGGTTGCACATTCCATCCCCAGTCAGGGCACCTACAATAAACAATCAATGAATGCATAAATAAGTGGAACAACACATCAGTATCTCTCTCTCTCTCTCTCTCTCTCTCTCTCTCTCTCTCTCTCTTTCTCTCTCTCCCTTCCTCTCTCTAAATTTAATGTTAAATAAAATTCATATTAGAGTATAGTCAGAGATATCAATACCTACATTATAGAGACTTTAACTCCTCCTCCTCCAGCTATTTTGTCTCTATGTTCTATTTCCCTTCAGTTCTTGTCTTCTCCTTTGTCTATCCTTCAGAGAAAGAATGAAAATAGCCTCTGGAGGCATAGTCTTGACAATGGAAAGCCTTTAAGTTAGAGGTCATATAACTTACTTGATCCCTCTTCCCTCTTTCTCTTACCTTCTTTTTCTTTTCTATTTCTTTCTTGATATTTTCTCCCTTTCCTTATTTTCTTTGTCTCTTTATCTTTTCTTTTTTTAAAAATATGTTTTTATTGATATTAGAGAGAGAGGAAGGGAGAGAGAGAGAGAAAGAAATATTGATGTGAGAGCAAGACATTGATTGGCTGCCTCCTGTGCGCCCCCTACTGGGGATCGAGCCCACAACCCGGGTATGTGCCCTGACCTAGAATGGAACCAGTGACCTCTTGATGCATGAGTCAATGCTCTACCACTGAGCCACATCAGCCAGGCTTCTTTTAAAAAAAAAATTTATTTTAGAGGGAGAGAGGAAGGGAGACACAGGAGAGAGAAACATTGATTTTGCTGCTCCACTTACTTATGCATTTCATTCATTGGTTGTTTCTTGTATGACGGGGAATCAATCCTACAACCTTGATGTATTAGAACAATACTCTAACCAACTGAACTACCTAGCCAGGACCTCTTTACCCTTTTTTATATGCTGTCTACAAGAGAGACATTTAAAATATAAGGATACAAAGAAGCAGAAAGTAAAAGGATGTAAAAAATCATAACAAGCCAACAGTAATCAAAAAAGATCTGGTGTAGCTATATAAATATGACAAAGTAGACTTTATATGAAAAAGAGTTTTTACAGATAAAGACAGACATTTTATTATGATCTGTGTTTCAATCCACTAGACATAACAAGAATTTCTAGTTAATTATTTCTTACCGTTGTTGGTAACAAGAAAAAAAAAAAAGAAAATTTTTTTTTAAAAAAATGTGTGATATCGGAATACCTTGTGAGCCAAATGAAAGAGGAGGCGGTTCTGAAGTCGGCTTTTTGGAGCTAAAAAAGAAAAATCCAAGCTGCTTATTAAAGAACTTAATTGCCTATGGCACTTAGTCCCATGCAGGAATGACATGAGACTCAGATAAGACCTCCCAAATCCTTACTTATCTGCTCCTGGTATATCTCTGCTACATAACAATACATATTATTTTAGTCTAGTTTCCACCTGTGTGACAGCATCAAGAACCAGAAGAAAAATGTCCTAAGGCTCTGCTTTTCCCATCACTTGTTCTACCTGATTCTATTATGACAGACCACAGCCCACCACTGTGCTGTTCACTGAACCAAACACTGGAAATAAACAGTTACGGTCATTTCAATACATGTAGGAATCCATTCTCATTCAGCTGTTCTCCCCAGTATGCTTTGTCAATTCCTTCTGAAATCTCTTTTTCTACAGTTATACCACCATATTTTATTAAATGCTAGACCAGCCTCTACTCCATAGATCTTCTAGCATGATAATCTGCTACAATGAAACAGGCAGCCAAGCAAAAAGGTTAACACCTTTCAAGTTCAAAATCCTCTTTGCACTCTTGGAGAATTTTACTAATTCTGTACACTCAATCCTCTATCTTTTTACAGCAAAAAGTCATACTTCAATGTATAAAAAAATAAAAATAACTCTGGCCAGGTAGCTCAGTTGGTTAGAGTGTTGACCCAATATACCAAGGTTGCGGTTTCTATCCCTTGTCAGGGCACATAGAAGAATCAAGCAACGAATGCATAAATAAGTGGAACAACAAATTGATATTTCTCTCTCTATCCTTTCCCCCTCTCTTTCTAAAATCAATAAATAAAAATTTAGAAACAATGAAAAGATATATAGCTACCTTGACCACCTTCTGTGTGTCTAACACTGTTCTGGGCACAGATAAAGTAAGTAACTTAAAGGCCCTTATAAAGAAGTGAGGAAAACTACATTAGTACATATGACACAATTTGGGTACAAATCAAGAAAGGCTTTAAGTTCCATATTTTCCATGAATTTGAGCTGAAATTCTAAATATCTATGTCAGGTAATTCACTAAGAATTCTACCCTGGAATACATTCTTCCCTAACAAATTTATTTATTTTTTGTTGGTTTAAATATGTTTTTATTGATATTTTTTTTTAGAGAGAGAGGAAGGGAGAGGGAGGGAGAGAGAGAGAGAAATAACAATGCACACACTGACTGGGGATGGGGGATCGAATCCACAACCTGGGTATGTGCCCTGACCAGAATCAAACCTGCAACCTTTCGGTGCATGGGACAATGCTCAACCAACTGAGCGACACCGGCCTGGGCACAAATTTCTTAAAATACATTCCCTTGCCCACTTCTCTACACTTCTTTGAATTTAATTTGATTCATACTCTAATTCTTAATCTTTCCTCCCATATTTCCCTTTGCCCTACTCTTATTTGCAAATTTGAGTCTAGTTCTCCAAAATTACTGTCTTGACAAGTAAAGCAAATGTAAAGATGTACAGATTCTTCATGCTGAAATTACTTGGCTTCTCACTCAGAAGCAGAAACAGCAGCTATAAAATCCACATCCGTAAGAGCTGAACCACTGTCCCCCACTCCCACCAAAAGCATGAACAAGCTCTCAAGCTGGGGCTTAAGGAAGATACCTTGCCGTTCTTCTTCCCTCATTCTTCTGCCAGAAGCTGTACCTTCTAAGAAAGGGTGGTGGGGAGCAGCCCACACAACCTTGGTGTGTTGGGTTGACGTTCTAACCAACTGAGCTTCCCGGCCAGAGCACAAACATAAATTTGTTCAAATCCAATATTCTTTGAAGAGTAAAGCTATTTT